AGTGATTGTTGAAAAAAATCAATTGATTTCTAAAATAAATACTAGCATTATAATCGATTGTTGTTAATTACTACGACACTATTGCTTATAAGTAGATCCTTGTATACGTAATATAAGCCTGGTCTGTCTAGTTCTGTGGTTTGCGGTTGCATGCTGAATTCAATCAAATTCACCTCCCTGTCTGTATCTACGCTGGCTTTTCTGTGTGGTCAATGCGACTAGTACTAGTACAAGTGCAAAATGATCGAGTTCACATCTGAACTCGATCATTTTGCACGGTTTATTTTAATTATGTAGTCACCTTTGTTAGGTCCTATTTCTAAACTATTTTCATTCAACTACTTCATTAAATGAACATAAAAAAATGTATTTTACAGATGTTTTATTATTTACATTGTATTATTTGTATTCTTAGGTATTACATTTAGATTAAATTTAATTTGTAAAAAAAAATAGTAATTAAAAAAAGACAACATTTTTGATGTATACGTAATAGTGGGAAAATAGCTTGTAATTTATATTTCTTCTTTTGCTATATACATGTTATAGCTTTATAATCTAAAGAAGCATAATTTTGCATATCATATAACTTATAAATAAATATTAGCATGTAGAAATTTATTGCTTTGTATTTTATAATAGCTCTGTTTAATACTTACATAACTTAGGGTCTTATAAATCACGCATAAGTAACAACAAAGTTGTGTTAGTACTTATATGTTTGTGAATCTTGTAGTGAGAATAAATAAATATAAGTCCAAATAAATAAAAAAAATAATAATAATTCACTGGATAGGATGAGTTAAAATGTTGATGGCTACAAAGGTAGAGGAAGGCCAAAAAAGTATGGAATGACTATGTGAAAGAGGATGAACGTTACAAGGGGATGGATTCAGATATGACAACTAATAGAGATGTATGGAGGAACAGTACATCTCCTCCAGGGTCGCCTCCATAGAGTTAGACAAGCCATTAGTTTTTACAAAATGTTTTTTTGTTTTTTTTGGTGCTGTATTTTTAGTATAGTACATTTTCATAGTCGATATAAATAAAAATAATTAAACAGCAAACGAATAAAACTATTCAAAAAACATAACACGATATCAAATAGCGTGGAATACAAGATCAAAGAGTAACACGAAGTAAATGGTTTACTCACGAATACAAATAGATATTAATTAATAGTAATGAGAGGTCCGCTTACCACGAAATTGTTATATAGTGGTCGGATCATTGCTGCCAAAGTTACTATTTATCTTTGCTGGATCCAAGTCCTAAGTGAAAGGTCAAACAATAAATTGTGGAAGTTGTTCCTGTAATTGTTCCTACTAATTTACCTTATATTATGTTGGAGGAGACTGATACTTGATTTAGTAGACTTTAAGGTTGACATACACGGATAGTTTAGTCAGTACTGATACCTTCAAGCATTTAGCGTTGGAGGATCAGTAGTTGATACGTCCTGCACGAACATTAGTGTACTGTTGCAGTTAAAGGGTGAAGCCGGCCATAATCCGACAGTTTGAAACTGTTAGTATGGACTGCTTAAATCAGCCCGTCTATGGCGGTCTTTAAACCCACAAAATACAGATGATGTGGTGTTGAATGATTTAGAGTAATGACTATTAATTCTGTATCTGATTAAAAATTTTAAAAGAATTGAATTGGTTGCATCTTACTTCTTACTTGATACTAATATTATAATTATGAAAGTTCGGACGTATGTTTGTTAGAAAGAACTTCCAGAACCGTTCAACAGATCTCGATGAAATTTGACACAGATGAAGAACATAGTCTGGAAGAACACATAAGCTACTAAGTTTTTATCTAATACCACTCGGATGAAGTCGTGGACTATAGCTAGTACTTTTAAGCCGATTTCAAAAAGAAGTAAGTCCTTAATATAAAAAGTTTAAACATGGTACTAACATATCACATGTTAAGATTTAAAAGATTTAAGTACCTACATAGAAAAATAAACATTATTAACGTAGATTATGGTTGCATTAGAGTGATGTAGTGTTGCTTATTTTCGCTGAAAATCCCCCCAATGTATCTAGACTGATCGTCTATTAGGCGGGCATTTGCTGCGATCGTAACTTACGAGCCTTATTTGGGTTGAAGTATAATTTATTGTCTTCAATTCCACTTCGAGACGGTGGAAAGGTTGCGCAATAAATTGAACACAGCTGCATTACGAGCATAGGCTGGGAATTACTTTGGAAAAAGAAAAGTGCTTATTAGAAAATTATTTTTTTTTTGTTTTATTTGTTGATTCGACTGATTGTTTTTTGTTAGCAAATGTTTAGTGAAAAAATTATAATGTATCTAATATTAAATTAATTAGTGGTCGCTCATTGGTCGAAAGTCGACATAATTTATAATAAAAGATTAAAAAAAACATCTTTTCAAACATTTAAGACTGGCAGTCTAGAAATACGACACTCACATCTTAAGTGTGTGCTGTAGTTTGCTCTTTTTTCTTTAACTCTCACAGTTCGCGTGCAGTTTTTGAAGATGTCATGCTTGGAATCTCCGCAAAGCTAAACAAAAAGATATTCCGAGCGCGAAAAGTCGACTCATACATATGTAGCACAAAGAACTGTTTTAACATTCTTACTGACATTTCGTTAATTACTAAAGGTTTAGTTTACTTGAACTACGGACTACAGTTGAATATCTGCTATAAGACTTTACCAAATATATTGGGAAATATCAATCTTAAACTACAAAATTAATAATAGTCAAATCAAGTAAATCAAGTCTATGTGTTCTTACAGACTATGTTTTACATCTATGCCAAAATCCGTTGAGTCGTTCTGGGGATACCTTTAAACAAACATCCTTCCATCCATCCATATATCTAAAAATTCGCATTTATAATATTAAGTAAGAAGTAACAAGTAAGATTTTGAACAATAGTCATTTTAATATAAAATTACGTTTTAAAAGCAAATCAAATTACAAAAGTAGGAGTAACAACAAACATAATTTATTTATGTTGTTTGTTGCTATATAAATTCTTTACATTAAGAATAAGGAGTAATTTATTGTATCCGAGATTTAATGCCATCCAAAGTGCTATTAAGAAAATGTTAAAACTCGCGGCCCAACTCTGATGATCGTGTACTTCAAACTTTGCCTTCTTTTCAAACTCTGTTGTTTTCGCTTTTGAATCGCATTATCTGTTAAAAATTTTGGTTTATACACTCGGAGTCCATCAGTAAATTTTACTTCTTACTTACAAATGCGAATGTTTACATGGATGTGTGCTTGTAAGAAGGTATCTCCATAACGGCTGCATGGATCTCACTGAAATTTGACACAGATGTAGAACATAGTCTAGAAGAACACGGCAAAAGCAATGATTCTTAAATGTTAATTTAGTTACGTCATTGGTTAAATAGTAAAAAAGGTCAATTTACAATTTGTAGTCAGTTTATAATATGACTAGTGAGATTGTAAGATGCACGCAAATACATCATGTTCAAGAATTATTTTATTTTCATGCAAAATAAATACACACTATTTTGATATTTTTTTAGATCAACATCGTGTCTATTTCTATAAATATTCTTTAAATTCAAAAATAAAATGTCTTAGCAAGAAATACATTCTGTATTTTAAACACGATCCCTTTGAAAACGTAGAGGTATTTTTTCCTCTTGAATTTCGGTAATGACTTACTCTCGATTGCTTTAGACCCTAATGTATTATGTTCGTGCAAACAACGTTTTCGATCAACTCGTCTATCAGGTATGTAGGTGTTCTAAGGCTCTTCGTACACAAGGCAACGTAAATCGTCGAAACTAATATTGTATGGTTGCGACGCGAATCGTCTGCTCTACTACTCACGACAATCTTGACAAACAGGTTGCAAACGACTCTCTTTGGCGATGCGAGCTATGTAAGACTCTCTATGATATTATATGCGAGAGTCGCTTAGCGACTAAAATCACAGGATTTAAAAAATTTCTAGTTCAAGGAATATTCAGCAAAATACAAATAATTGGTTAAAACTGTCTAGAACTAGTGTTCTAGATAATATAAATTAGTAAAAAATAAGTACAGTAAAAAGTTTCGTAATCGTGCTGGATTTACAATATAATAGTTAAACAATACTTATTATAATAAAGAACGAAAAATCGTTTTATTTTTAAATATCGATACATTTTATCGATTCTCAAATCGATAGTAACATCACTAAATTTTTCCCTTTCAATTCGCCCGATTGTGAACATTAGATCCAATTCATTCCATTATCATTCGATACTCGTTACCCGAAACTGTGGGCTTTTAAACTGTTTACCCTGCGAAATTGAAATCGTCGAGGCGTAGATACATCTCTCATTGTGCCGCGCCTGATCAACGAGTGTGTTACTTCCCTATTATTGTTTCAAATAAAATTCACATCAACGGAATAACATTTTGAAATGAAAATTAAAAGAATACAATACAACTCGTGCCTGATTAATGTTTTCACAATTTCCAAGCAAATTGTTAAAGACTAACAAACAAATTAACTAAAACATAATTCCTGTCAAAATAGTTTACGTTTCAAAGTGAATTTGGGGATTGTATAAAGCCGAAGACAACTTTATTTGATTAATAATTTTGTTGTTTTTTCAGGACTTACTTGCACATTATGAAACTGGTTATGTTTTTAGCCGTGGGTTTCCACTGCCGCGCCACTTGTGGTCAAGCTTTTTAATGAGTTTCTAATAACACAAATACTTGAAATTAGAACCTTATAGAAAACCTAATGGTATTAATTTGAAGTTTATTCAATTATACATTTTAGGAAATATTAAAAGCGTATTCTGGTACTAAAATAAAAATAGAACCAGAGTCGCACGACCTCAGAATGTAGGCGTCTCTATAACCTCATTATAAGCCACAAAACAAGGTTAATGCTTACTACATACGCAACGACAACGCGTCGATGCCGCGTAATTGCCCAATTAAATATGAATAATAATATTTACATTTCTTTGTTACAGAACAAGAAACCCAGTGTCGAGATGGAAGATTACTTATTTGACATTTTTACAATTAAATATTTCAAAAGTAAATTAAGTGCCAAAAACTATATAAATTTTTAAAACAATTAGCATAAGGATTGCCAAAGTTGCTCAGAATTAAATTATTAATGTTCGGTTAATGAATTGTGATGATTGTGATATAGTTTATCTTATAGAGATCGAGTTATATTGTGAAAAATGTTTATTACTTCTAGAAAGTGGTTAAACACGTGAACAAAATGACATCCCTTCTGCGAGCCGTGATTACTTGCATCGCTTGTCAGTTTATTGGTAAGTATATTTATACATTTTTTACAATTTTTACACATAAACTAAACACAATTACTCAGATATATGCGACAAATGTTCAAGAACAAAAAATTTCAAGGTCACGCGTCACGATTACGAACATTTCGTTACATGATCGAGAAAGACATATTGAAAGTTGGTAGTGCGAAAGAGAGCGACGACGATTTATTTCTAATGTACAAAATATATACTTTGGCATCTTTCAGCATTTGTGGCCTTAATGTAAGTAATTTTTCCGACCTGATTGCAATACATAATAGTAAAAAGAATTTTCCTATATACTTCAATAAACATTAAATATAAAATAGGAGGAAAGAGGGGAAATAAATCTGAATGGTTACGTTAACCGCAAATCTTGTAGCCGTATCGGGTATTTGTTATTTTTCCCTTGTTTACGCTTACGTTGCCTTCATTGAATAAATTTACGTCTGCGTTTTTTCTAATGATCTTTACGATAAAGCCTCTCCGTATTTTATTATAGTTCTTTATAATAATTACGGTTATAAATTCTTAGCAATATCCACTAGTCTTACTTCTGAAATTTACTATTTTATTTTAGCTTAAATTAAAAATGAAGAGTGTAATCGTATTATAGATTTGAACTCGTTTTTTAAATATTACTAGCGGTCGCACGCGACTCCGTCCACGTGTAACTAGAAAAAAAAATATGAGTAGCCTTTGTGTTCTTCCAGACTATGTTCTATATATTTATGCCAAATTTCATCAAGATCTGATCATCCGTTCTGCAGATACCTTCAAATAAACATCCATCCATCTAAACATTAGCATTTGTAAGATATGCATTGTCATTTAGTCTTTATCTCTCTCTGTTGTGTAACTATTTCCCTATTCATTTTAAATACATGGATCATTACAATGCCTCGTTATTTTATGAATTTTTATTTGCCCCTTGCTTACAGTTTGTGTTCGGAACATTGGTTTTATTTGTGAAGATTTCCCCGGGCACTGCTTTGTATTAAATGGGAATTGATTACTGCGGATTGTTATATTACTTTTTCTTTGCTTGCGGAAAAAATATTATAAACTACGAAATGAATTTTTCTCCTAAAAGGATTGCATTTTATATAATGATCGAATATTTCTCAGAAATTTACGTTTAAAATTATAACACGTTAAATGTATTTTTATTCAACCCCCGTAAAAGTACAAAATAATGATATGTTAAGAATTTAAAGAAAATTGTGTTAATTTTTCTAAAATAAATATAAAAATAATATATATTTTTTTTACCTCTAATCATTGTGATTGTGTAAAATTGTACCGTAGCACAGGATATTTAAAATATTACTCTCTATATTCAGACTAAAATATAGTTTACAATATTACAGACGCTCAAGAGTGTACGTTTGCCAAATTAAATATGAGCAAACTTCCGGCGCGGCTCTTGCGGTGAGAGTTGGCGCAGTTGGACCTAGTTGGCCAATTTAGTTGTACCCACTCACGCGTTCTACGCTAGTTCCTCTAAGGAACGATAATTACGTACTTTCTCACACTACCATTAGCTGAATTTATACGATGTTTTCGAATCATTAAATGACTGGTGTACTATCGCCATTTGATTAGAAAAGTAAAAAAATATGTCTATTATCTATTAAAATAAATCCTTCTTACGAACATCCATCCATTCAAACATTCGAATTTATAATATCAGTTTTTTTATGGAGAAAAAAATAATTAAAGTTGTGTAAATTTTCACTACTCTTTTACTCTGAAAAACCATGAAATAAATAGTAATAATATGATTTAATTTCTTTATACTCAAGTGAATAATTTATTTTAAATAATGCTTCGAACTTGACAATTAAACTTGATTAAAATGGCAACATTTATTCCGTAAAGCATTGCATCTCACCACAATAATAACCATTTCACAAATACCCCGGTTATTCGAACCAGACAATAACAGACCACAACTAGCATTCAATGGGGCTCAGTCGTAATCATTATGCGCGAAAGATATTTACATTGTTCGATATTCCACTGAATTTTCCAACGTATAACAAGGTAATATATTCCAAACGATTTTGCCACACTTCCTTACCTACAATTGGGAGTCATTACAATAGGTAAACGTGGCCCTTAATAATGTAATAGACAAGAAAATCTCTTGTATAAAGTCAAGAGTTTATTTGAAGAAAACTTCTATGTAGTTAAATTAAAGCATAACATTCATGATATTGAGAAAAATCGTTTACAAAGGGATACAATAAATTCCATGGTCGACAATATATTTTCTCATCAACCATTCCGTTTCTTTAAAACATGTTAAGGACATCCTTTTTTTGTAGATTTAAAAAGAAGAATAAAATTTAATCTTTTATATAAAATTCTCGTGTCACAATTTTTGTTCCCATACTCCTCCGAAACGGCTTGACCGATTCTCATGAAATTTTGTGAGCATATTGAGTAGGTCTGAGAATCGGCCAACATCTATTTTTCATTCCCCTAAATGTTAAGGGTAGTCCACCTCTAAATTTTTATTTTTTAGACAAACACGCGGACGGAGTCGCGGGCGACAGCTAGTAATCTATAGATTTCTACTTTTTTTTAAGAGAATTCGAAGAAGTACAACAAATTTCATAGGGTTATTTTTGACACTCGGGACCCACAATTTAACTAATATTTTATAATAAAAACAGAGAGAACAAGACGCATACATTAAATAGAATATACAGCATTGTAATAATTACTTTGCCGTATCTCTAGGGAAACTTTGCTCATTTCACATTTCACCTTGAGCCCATGTAATTTTAAGCAACATCTTTAAACAAGAAAATGTAAGATTATAACGAAAACAGAGGTGTTTCGAGCGTGACAATTTAATCGAATATAACAAGGAAAAGTTAAATAATATTATTCAGAAATATATCATATATATGATGTTTATAAACGAAATAATGATTTCGTAGAAGGAAACAAAAAAGAGTGAAATTTAAGAGGAATTTTTCCATAAATTAAATAGATGTTTACGAGAAACTCGTGAATATATGTATTCCTAACACACATTACACTTATTTATATTGTATTATTTTTATTGTAGACTAGCTGTAACCCGCGACTCCGTCCGCCCAGAATTAAAAAATAATAATACGTGGCCTATTTGTTCTTTCAGACTATGCTCTATATTTATGCTAAATTTACCTTCAAATACCTTCAAATAAACATCAATCCATACATCCATGCATCTAAACTTTCGCATTTATAAGATTAACATCTATATTAAGTAATTTTAAAATGTCAAGACTTACATAAAATCTAGTTCTTTTGCATCCAACGCGGAATGTTGCCAAGCGTAGCCCGCAAACGTGCATTTCATCTGCTAATGGCAATCAATTCACTAAGCTAACAAACGAAGACATTACTGTAATGAAATTCTAGAAAATATCTTCGAAAAATGTACACCAAATCGACTAAGCAGGTGATGTTATTGCTGCCGCTAAAGATGGTTTACTTTTTATAACTAATTTATAACCGCGACTTCATTAGCGTTGACATAAAAAAATAAGGTAGTCTATTCGCTTTGATAATAATCTTTCAATGTTCCAAATTATATACAGATCCTGTGTATCGTTATGGATGTTCGAAAATTGAAACCGAACCTTAACCGTTAATTCGATGGTGTCCAGTGTGACGAACAACTAATTAAAAAAATCTACTGAACTAGTTTAGAGAAAATTACGTAAGTATGACTTTACTAAAAAAAAACAATTTTTTTGCTAGAAAAAATTTCGTCGAATTAAGGGTTAACATTACAAGTAGTGCTCAACCACTGCGCTACATTACCATAATTAGCTTTTGTCAGTCCACCTTAATTTTTACCACTTCCGTCATGATGTCATGTCATATAGGGTTGTCACAATTGCAAAGAATCGCGTAAAATATTCAGATATTTAAATTTTTCCTAACAGATACCATCATAAACGCACGACACGCACGAATAATAAATTGTTTTCATCATCAACCTGCCCTTATCTCTATTGAGGGTCGAACAGTATGTACTACTCCTCCATACATCTCTATCAGCCGACATATCCGAATCTACCCCCTTATACGCATATCCTCTTTCACACAGTCATTCCATACTTTTTTGGTCCTTCTACAACTTACTCTTAAACGAGGTTCAGGCTAAGCGCCATCTGCGCTCGGCCACCTCAAGCCCGGTGAAGCTGTAAATGCCTCCTCAAGGCAAACAGTGACTACTCAGTCACAAAAAAAAAACAAAAAAAATTCCTAGAATACTTTTGCTCTCTTAAAATCATTCATTCAAGTAACAAAATACTCGGTAAAACATTTTAAGAACTTTTGTATACATAAAAATATATTTAACATTTAGTAGTTTCTGAATAGTAAAGTTTATTTGAATAGTTCTTTGTGATAAACTAAATAACTCTAATACAGTTGGAAACAGCTTTCTAATATTCCAGCCACTTCAACAAAAATGATACGAGAAATTGAGAAAGTAATAATCCTTGCAGTCAAAAGCATGAATTTTACAAAATTAAATATGAGCTGGGTTGAGCCGGCCCCTCTACTCTAGAATGGGTAAAGTTGGACCGAGTCGGCCAGTCGAGTATTCCATACTTATTTCCTGCCATAACTTTCAAAGTAATTTGAGTGAACATTTTAGACGCACCGAAATTTATTTCACATAGTTATAGCTTCATTTTAAATCTTTTTGTGAATTAACTAGTTAAAAACCCATTCATTGTCATCCATTTTGGTCTTTGGGAATGGTAACAGATTCTGTGTAAGTTTGAAAATTAGAATAAAAATAGTAAAAATGTGTTCATCATTACTTCGAAAGAATAGTCGACAAATTTTCCGACATACAATTCACTGTCTTTGTAATTTGTCTAGACAAATTATCTACGAGCGGTATTCACAATCGTTCGGTGACAGTAATATAGAAACTCCTTTCACATATACGTTAACAGAATGAAAACTTTCGAATCAGCTCGCGG